TTGAGCCGCTCGCACTTTTTGATGATCATTAAGATTTAACCCAAACATAGGTGAGCAGATAGCTTTAACATAGATATTCCAATCAATGTTGAGTTATTCAGGGCTCACTATGAACCTGCGGATGTGGGTGCCATTCTTGCGATGATTGACGTTGTTCCGCACTTGAACGAATCTTGTCTAAAGAAAGATTACTTTTACAATTCGGCTAAGATTACCCTTTTAATCTACAGCTCTTTTAGATGGTTGTGTGTTGTGTTGCATGCTATTCATAGGGAATATATGGACGAACTTTACGCAAAACTGGATTTGGCAAAAGAAGGGCTGCAAAAGCTTGAACAAACTTCTGATAGGAACGCTGCAGTGACATATCAATATTGTGAAAATGTGCGGATTTTTAGGAATTGGAGAGTAGCGAATCAACATCATCAGAATTACCAACGGATAACAGCAAAAAAGGCACAATTTCGGTAATGCGATTTGTCAAGATGGACAGCAAAGGGTAGATATATGGAGAAAAATGGACAGCAAAGGGTAGATATATATAAAGGGTAGACATGGAGAATAAATGTCGTGGGTGGTGAGAGGAGAGTGACCGAAGGGCGAAGAGTACCATAGGATAAGTGCCTACCGTACACTAGCTTGCCGATCGATTTGTGTGAAAATTTCCTTTTGATTTTTTTTGTGATTTTTTTTGTGATTTTTAATATACATTTCAGATGTTTTCTTTTGATGCCAATGTAATGTACCAGATGATTTGTGGATTTTGGCGAGGTCGAGCTCAAAAGTTAGATTTAGGTCGTAAAACTCATTGCACTACCGATCTTTGACTCTGGAAAACTTTTTTCACGCTGATCAGATTTTGATGTTTGAATACGCAAAAAAATGCGTCATGGATCATGACGCTAGCTCAAAAAATAGCAATAGGCTTTAGCAATAGTTTAGGCTAGCTAATAGAATATTTTTCATGAATGTTCCTGGATAGCCCATCAATTCAGTTTTCGACTCCGACCCCGTATGGATAAGCTAGCTTCATTAGGTCAAAAGATCTTGATCACCTTCTATAAATAATGAATTTTTTAGAGAATTTTACCAGCATATTGGTATTCTAGTAGACCATTATGCCAAGAACTTTGGATTCCCTAAGAATCTAGAGAATTCATTAAAAATTCAGTGAAACTCACTTTTAAAAAACTCTTTAAAAATTCAAGAAATTCACTGAATTCTTAAACCTCTGTTTAAATAGAATGTCGAACCTCTGTTTGAATAGAATGTCTACTGATTGTCTACTGAGCCTCTACTGTATATAAGAATCAAAACAGTATTGGGTTACATCGTTTCAGATATGCGATCGGCGTCTCGAATTGTTCTAATGATTATGATGATCGGGGGATGTACGGCGATTCGAGAAGAAGAGGCGCTCAAATCGATTGAAATATTGCAGGTTGGTGATCGAATTATAAAAATCATTCTATTTAGTATTTGGCATATCGAAAAAGAGCAACAAACCGTTTCTTAACTAAAAAGCACGTTTTGCACTTATCAACTGGCAAGCTGCGAAAAACATTATAATATACAAATATTTATAACCCACACTCAAAGTTCAGTCAAACCGTCTATGTACTCACTTTTTCTATTGATTATAATTTCGCATCAAAAGACCATCAAAAGACCATCATCATTCCATCAAAAGACCTTTAACTCTAAAGATTTTTTAAATAAGAGATTCTTGGAGTAAAAGTAGTAAATTAGATGCAAATTCACTGATTTTATATGCAAGATCGGTGGATTCCTTCCGAAGGGCTCTTTTCACCAGCGACTAATGGGATGAAAAGTTTCATTTAATAACAAATTATCAATTTTACATGCCAAATCCTTTACCTCAAAAGTTCCTTACCTCAAAAAGAGGATCAAAAGACCATTAAAGGCTTAACTCTTAGAACCTCTTAGTTCAGGAAAATTTTCATCATCCTTATATACGGACCACGTATATTTAGTCCCTAAATATTTCTAGCTTTTTAGCTCTCTTTTTAGCTTTTTAGCGCAATATTCAAACCGTTCAAGCGTTTCCACCATCATCACCATCACCCGCCTCACGCACATCAACCGCCCCAATTTGTCCCACAAGCAGTCGCCTGTCCTAATTCCATGGCCACAATTGTTCGTTTAGCCGGCCTAATTGGAGCAAGTGCGGTCATTCTTGGTGAGTTATGAGCAGAGAAAAGAATGCATCAAGATCTAAAGGTCAATTTAGCATCATCATGTCAGGGTTGTTCCAAAACCAAAGCCAGGACCAGGTTCTGGCTTTGGTTCTAAAGCCAGGGCTGAGCCTGTCTTGGCTTGGCCTGGTTCCAAGTTTACTCGGTTGGAATGTCCCTGGTCATGTATAGCCTTTGGTCCAAATGGGTCATTCTAGAATTCTAAAAAATACCACAAAAACTTCTCCAGGAGCCTACGGATCACACGTATTGCGAGATCAAGTGGACGAGCATCGGAAGAAAGCCTTTGACACCGGGTCGCGCTATCATTTACTGCATTCGGTAAGTCGGAAAGGCTAGTCTTTACAGCTTTTGCTTCAGCATTTTGAGTACTTACTACATACCCGCGTAGTACCGTACTTCCGTACTATATCTAGTGCCAGATGCGTATCCAAGGGAAGACCAAGGGATACAGGATCTGCCTAGTACCGTAATATCATACGGGCAACGGCAGTTATCTACGTAGATAATCCGGCTATCGCACTCAAATCACTGCCGTACACTGCGTAGGTATAAGGTAATGTTGTGTCATCTACAGCTCTGGCTACCGTTTCCAAGCACCGTACACCAAGTTCCAGGTGGCTTTGCTTGGCGCTCGTCAGGCTCGTCACCCTCTACTAACCGCTCTTCTCTTCTCGGCCGGCATCATTCTCTTCTGTGGCCCCTGCTATCATTACAGTATCACCGGCGAGGAGAAGCTGCGGAAATTCACGCCAACCGGCGGTACTTTGTTTATCCTCGGCTGGTTGTCGTTCATTTTGTAAAGTTTCTTGTAAGTTATGATTACTGTAGGCATGCCATAGAATAGCCAGGTCAAGCCAAAAATTGAATCATTTGTTATTTGTTCGAATCTCTTCCTCTACAAGTGCTTTAGAACACTTCTTATACAAGTGCTTGCATGTTACTTAATAATATGTAAATTAGTAATGTAGATTGGTATGCTAATTTAAATAATCCACACATAATTGTGTAATCACCATTATTTCTAGAGTTAAAAATCGACTTTCAGAAGCAAACGTGAAGCCTTTTTCGACGAGTTTTACCCGGCGACAATCTGGGATAACGGTTTACCCTATGAGTTGCACGGATCGCTTTGTTCATTTTCTAACTCAATTTATTAGTTTTTTAAACTTGACAAACTTTCGCGAAATTGTAGAGCATCGATTTCTCGACGGCCTCGTTGTTGAGGGCAACATGGGAGTCACGATCGTAGCGGGATTGCTCGTGGAAGACGCCGAGTGCATGGGCCAGCTCGTGCGATGTGACGCCGAACTGGAGATCGAGGGAGTTTGCTTAGTTGGTAAGTTCAAATAATTGGAATTCGCTTTGTCAATTAACTGATAGTGAGCTCACTTTGTAGAAGCCGAAACTCTTCTCTCTTTTACACAATGAAAGCTGTTTTAGAGCTGTATCTTTTGGATTTAATTTCACCTTTGGTACAAAACTTCGAATGTTGCAAGCAAAAATGAAATTACGATTGCACGCCTAGCGATTACCAACTAGAAGCTGCGAAAGACTTATCTAAAGATGAGATTTTTTGACAGAATCAAATCAAATCGATTGTTAGAGCTGCTGCAAAGTAAATAGAGAAAAATAGATCTTCCATTATTTCCGTTGAACTCGATTCAATCGTGAACAAGTTGAAACTCGCTTTTTTAAACGGTCAACAGAAGACAGGGAGGATTTTATCTTAGATTGGCAATATGAATGGGTAGATCGTAGGTAATTTTTTCGAGGCTTGGATTTGGTCCGGGTTTACAGTTTATTTCACAAATAGTTCATTTCCTAAACCCTGCCCTCTTTCCTCATTTCTACCGTAATCTTGACTCGATATTTTTACCAAATCTTTCTTTTTTTTTATCTGTTTCTGTGTGAGTTCACAAAGGATATCGAAATTTATAAAAAGTAGATTAATTGGGTAAAAATAGAGACAAAATTACGGCATTAAAATCCTAACCACATGTTCCCACATGTTCACAACCATGACCCACATGTTCACAACCATGACCGATGCTAACGATTTGCATTGGGACAGTGTCGTCTCTGCCCACTGTCGACCAGCAACCCTCCTCGTAACCAACAAACTGAAAAATGGCTTTAAAATTAGAAAATTGTCACTTTTCACATCACTCTTCAGCTTAAAAAATTCATGTTTCAAAAAGTTTAACTTCAAAACAGTTCCAATCGAATTAATGGGGGTTAGCCTGCCTGCTCTATTTGACTTTATTGGTAATCAACGAACACAGAAATGGAAGAATTGCAGTGCGCCAGAAAAGGGGTGTTTACAAGAGCAGCACAAAGTACACTAAAAGTTTACCTGCAAGAAAAACTTCTCAAAAGTGCGAGGTCGAAATTTCACGCACGTGTTCGCCGCCCAGAAGCGAATCGCGTGCATCACCGAGAGACGGGCTTTCATCGCTGAAAGTGCCTTTTGGTTGTTGTGTCTGGAGCTTGATCAATTTGAGTTTAAACACCTTGCACTTGTTTTTATAATTGAATAAGTAATTGAAAGGTACCCTTAGACCGATTCGATTAGATTTCTCTTTTTTCTTTGTCAATTTTGAAACTCACAAAGCGATCCGTGCAACTCATAGGGTAAACCGTTTTCCCAGATTGTCGCCGGGTAAAACTCGTCGAAAAAGGCTTCACGTTTTCTTCTGAAACTTTCTACACAATTATGTGTGTGGATTAATCTTATTTTTTAATTTTTTTTTAATTAGTTTTTAATCTTAAAAAATGGTGAACATGTTTGACACAGGCCGCGCTGCGAGGCATTTGGGTCTACCAAAACATAGCTTACAAGTTTGTCTACAAAAAAAACAGTCAAAGATACTAAGTTTGTTGTTGAGCTATATTTCATTTATTTAGTACCTTGTTGACTCGCTGTGTCAAGTACAACTCAACAAGGAATTCCAGACGACCGATTGGCGTGTTAGGTCTGAAAAACCTTGGGGTTTATGTTATTCCTTTTATTTTTAGACCACTCCCCGAAGAAATGATGCACTACGCCCGGGAGGACACTCACTATTTACCTATTGCTATGATCTCACGGAAAGACTTTTCAGTGTGAGTGTGTGGAAATCTCCAATTAGTGATCTTAGAACTTTTTGTGCAAATGTCGCGTTAATGTTCTTTGACAATAACGTCTCTTCCCTTTTATATAAAGTATTCATTTTGAAAGAAAGCAAACTAATTTTCTCGGGAACGAACCCACGACTCCTCTTTCCCACTCTCGTTTTTGGTTCGCGATCGGAAAGAAACGGCATCTCGAAATTCGATCTGGACGTCAGGAAAGTGTTTGTGACAGACAGACAGACGGACAAACAGACAGCAGACGTTTTTTCTGCTTTGGACGAAGATTTGGACCTGTTGATCCGTGCCTTTATTTTTAGACCACTCCCCGAAGAAATGATGCACTACGCCCGGGAGGACACTCACTATTTACTCTATTGCTATGATCTGCCACGGGAAAGACTTTTTCAGCGTGAGTGATTGTGGAAATCTCAATTAGTGATCTTTTTAGCTGGAAACGAAAGGACGAACAATTTGCTGGAAGACGTTTACAGGGACTCCAAGGAGATTTGCAAGAAGGTGAACGATTTCAAGGGATAATGGTGATTGATTTGTTTAAGGTCTTCGAAAGCACCTCTTCGATCCCGCAGATCAAAGAGGAATCTCAAAATAGGTGGGATTGAAATCGATCAAAACATAGCTTACAAGTTTCAAATTTAGTAATCAGATTTAGTTCTACGAGAGTGCTCAAAATAATGCTAATTCATCATTTTCAGGCAAATATTCGCCCTGCGGGAGCTCTGGCGTTGGGGGGACACGACGGCGAGAAATCAAGACGAATCACTGGGCTACGTTCTACACATGATGATTCATATTGCTGAGGTGGGATAATTAAATTGAATTCAGGTTTAACTCACTGTAATGATCGATGTTTACAAGTGCTTTAGTCTCTTCCTCGTGACAAGGAAGGAGTCTTGGCGTGCTGCTCACCGGTACCGCACCCACTGAAAGAACATTTGTTGCTTATTCACAGGTTAGTCGTATTATTGGTTCAACTTATTGTTTTAAACTTTTAGGATCATCTTGGAGGCTCGAGATCGCGGGCTTGAGGTGGTGGAAACGGCAAAAAAGGTGGTTGCGGAGGGCGAGACTTTGGCCGCAATGCGAAGCCGACAGCAACAAAGCAACCAGATAAATCGATAAACCGTCATCTAGAGTAAAAGGTTGGAGGGATCTTTCTGAAAATTTGGTAACTTATGTAATTGAGTGTGCTCTATCTTTTTTATATAAACACCAAAGGAGGTTTATGTGGAAGAAACTGTTCAAGCAATCCAATTTAGACTTGTCAGCTTAATGTCACTTTATGTGGGGCGTGTCTGGGCAATACAAGATTTTCTGTTTCAGTCTTTTTGCAGTCACTTTTCTCATTGCTCCAAAACATTTAGAATTAACGTATTTTTAATGGGTTTTCAAAGTTACCGCCAGTAATTTATTTGAAATTTTCAGTTTCAAAAAAAGGCTAGCTCTAAAATAGGATATGCGAAAAAAGCAGAAAGAAAAGAAAAAGCAGAAAAGCAAAATCCCAAAATCCCAAATTTGGGTTGCGACCCCAGCAGCACATTGCCAAACTATTTTACCGAATAGGACCCGAATTTGCAAATGCCTGCAACCCAACCGATATTGGGATTTTGGGATTTTGGGATTTTGGAATTCCTGCTTTTTTCGCATATCCTATTTTAGAGCTAGCCTTTTTTTGAGCCTTTCATTTTCAGACCACTCCCCGCAGAAATGATGCACTACGCCCGGGAGGACACTCACTATTTACTCTATTGCTATGATCTGCTACGGGAAAGACTTGTTTTTGCTTTGAAATCCGTGTCATATTGTAACTATTTTTATTTGAAAATTGTAATCATAAAACAATAAAATTTGATTGCCATGAAAAAGCACGCCTCACTTTTCACTGATGCTATCGTCGATCACATTTCACACATTCACACGTGACAATGTCCTCAAACGGTGTATTCTTTGAGAACGATTCATCACAGAAGTCCTCGCGTACTCATTCGCGAATTTCCCCCATTCGACTTTCCCTTCGCTATTCCAAATTTCAAAATTACGGCGGGATTGCTTCATTGATCTGACTAAATCGATTTGGAAAGTCCAAAAGTTGAAACTTGAGTTTTTCATTGTTAAAAACTCGATCAAATGCTAAACTTAAAGCTTTTCAAAACTGGATGACGCCAATGGAAACTTCATTGGTTTTATTGACTAATGATTGCCATTCTTTGACCAAAACCAACTTGAAACTCAGCATAATTAGAACACTGTTCTTTCTTCACTTTCTTAATAATTATTTTTTCCTAGCAGTTATCGGAAAAAATAGAAAAAGAGAAATTTGACAGATTTTTGATTCATTTTTAGGCAAGAACCTTTGTAAATCGGTAAAAAAAAGGTCTGCTTTAATTTTTAAAAGCTTTTCAACCTATTATCGTCGTTGGAATGCTAGAATCCGGTGGTGTCAATGTCTTTTCTCACCCTCTCCGCAAAATCTTCACTTCTCTCTTCTCGAGAGAATTCTGAAACGGTAGGGGGACTCGGAAAGAGTGGAAAGGATGAAAAGATGTACAGAAAGACCAGGGTCCAGGGTGAGGGTTGGGGTAGGGTACAGGGGAAAGAGTACAGGGGGAAGAGTACAGAGGTTCTAGGGTCTACAAGGGGTACAGGCTAGGGTAGGGTAGGGAAGTGCAGTACAGAGAAGGGATAAGGCCCAACTAGGGTAGGGTACTATGATTGAAAGCTGAAAGGGATATAGGTAGGGTACAGGCATACGGGGTATTACGGAGAGTACAGGGGTTCAGAGGTCGCCCAAGAGTCCAGAGTGGGGGCAGGGGTTGGGTAGGGGTAAGGGTTGGGGTTAGGGTAAAGCCTGCACAGGGTAAGAGTCCAGGCTGAACTAGGGAACAGAGGCCCAGGGGTCCCCAAGGTGCCCGTGGCCGGACCATCGGATGACTTTTTCTTGCACTGACCCCCTCTTCACCTCTTCTCCGACTACTGCCACCGTTGGGAATCGTTGGGAAAAATCTTGAACAGGCAAACGAACCAGCAGAGCAAATGTTCAGTAATTTAAAAATGACGAGTTTCAATCTGATGTGTAGGATAGCTTGTGCCTTTTCGACAATGCTTCTCGTCTGCTACATGTTTCTACTACAGAATCTGAATACCCTAAAAAATAGAAATGAAAATAACCAATTTGTTAGCGAGGATCCAGAACAACTACACTAACTTGTAAATGGTTTGTTTTTCTTGAAGCAGATAGTCAAAGAGCTCAAAAGCATCAATTCTACTTAAAGAATCGTTAAAATTTCAAAATTAAAAATTACTTTCCCTTATTGTTTTTCCTTGCCTTTTCCCACCCTTTCTCATACTCATTCTCCATTTCCCCCGTTCGATTTCCCTTCGCCATTCAACGAGGCGGAGTGACGATACATGAAGAAGGCGATATGATTGTTAGATTTGTATAGGTTTGTATTTAAGGAACAGTTATTTAGATACAAATTAGCAGATAAAGGTGCTCCAGAGCAGATAAAGGTGCTCCAAAAAAAGTCAAAGATACTAAATTTGTTGTTGAGCTATATTTCATTTATTTAGTACCTTGTTGACTCGCTGTGTCAAGTACAACTCAACAAGGAATTCCAGACGACCGATTGGCGTGTTAGGTCTGAAAAACCTTGGGGTTTATGTTATTCCTTTTATTTTTAGACCACTCCCCGAAGAAATGATGCACTACGCCCGGGAGGACACTCACTATTTACTCTATTGCTATGATCTGCTACGGGAAAGACTTTTGCAGTGTGAGTGATTGTGGAAATCTCTCAATTAGTGATCTTAGAACTTTATTGTAGCAAATGTCGCGTATAATGTTCTTTAGACAAAATAACGTCTCTTCCCTTTTATATAAAGTAAATTCATTTTGAAAAGAAAAAGCAAAACTAATTTTCTCGGGAACGAACCCACGACTCCTCTTTCCCACTCTCGTTTTTGGTTCGCGATCGGAAAAGAAACGGCATCTCGAAATTCGATCTGGACGTCAAGGAAAGTGTTTGTGACAGACAGACAGACGGACAAACAGACAGGCAGACGTTTTTTCTGCTTTAGGACGAAGATTTGTGACCTGTTGATCCGTGCCACCATTCGATTGCGTCGGCGCGTCGGGATCTCGGTGGAAGATCGGAAAGCATGTAGCGACAGCGGAGAGACGCTGTAAGTCTTCTTTCTTTAGATCTCTTCATTAAAATCACAGTTTAATCAAAGGAAAAGCTTTTGTTAGAGTTCTAACATCAATTGCGATAATCGAATTATGATAATTGCAATCTCCTGGCACCATTTCGATAATATTAGCTGATCTGTGAGTCAATTTTCACAGCAAAAATCGTGTTACAATGTTCTAAAGCCATTGTTAGTCCGTGAAAAACCGAAATACACTCCGAGTGTAAACAAAAACAAAAAAAAACCCAAGCCCAAAAACCCATCGAAATTTCACCGCCAACCTATCAATCGCCTCATCGCCAAAAGTCGCTCGCATTTTCTTCTCGATTTCCCCTCCAACTGCCTTGCCTCAATCTCTTCCGGACTCAGCGATCCATCGTGAATCTTCACCTCATCATAGGGAAAGGGAGAGAAATACTAGAAACTACGGAAGGGAGAAGAGACCTTTTTGGAGGGGGGAGGTTGGGAAAGCTGAGAGAGGAGAGAACTTTGTTTGACTCATACAGAGGTGCACTTTGTGCTCTTCGAATACCTTTAAACACATTCTTTTTGGTGCACTTAATTTCTCGCATTTCCCGTTAAGTTATTAAGAAAAGAGTAAATCGGGGAAGCTTAACTTTATAAAATAGGAATTCTAGTGAGAGAAGTTGAATCATTGACTTTAAAAATCTCTCAAAAGGGTTTTTTTCATTGTAGATGACTTTAAAGACTTACATTTGTATACTAAATAAAATTAGCTAATTAAATAATTTCAAAGAATTTCTACCCGAAATTTGTGCCCTTAAGAGCCACAAGGCCATTTTCTTTCTACTAGATTCATTTGAAGGCGTCATTAATCGAAGAAATCGAGTTGACACTATCAAAAGTGAAACTGATTTTTTTCAGAGAACAGAGACTGATTTTTTGAGTTCTTTGAGTTCAGGTGAAAGCTTTCCTTTCCTAAGCTTTCCTTTCCTAAAGTGTACACTTTGAAACTTGGGTTTTGAAATCGCAAAAATTGCGTGAATCTTTAGGTTTTGTTCGATAAAACCAGTAGGAGCTACTAGGGATATTCTAAGAAACAACAAGCACTTTAGGGTACTGTGCTAACTGCTATATCCTAGATACGGTCTATACTTTCTTTGGTACTATGTACCGTACCCGTTTGTTCGATAAAACAGCGGCTGGCTAACAATGAAGCATTCTCCTAGAAAAATCTAGCTAAAGATTTGGTATTATGAGTTACAAAATGACTTCTCTTGTCTCTTTACTGCTCTATAACTTGCTTATCCACTTTTTTAAAGCAATTTTAAGTAATTTTAAGGCAATCTAAACATAAACATTCTTTTCTTTCTTCCTTCGGTCTTAGAAATTCCAGTCACCTACAATAAGTTTGTGTATAACTCTTTTCCAGCAAGAACTGCCAGAATTTGGAATCGACTCCCCAGAGTTTTCAGAGAGTCCAATAGTCTTAAAGCCTTTAAATCTGTAGACGATCTTGATGAAAGCTCTAGTGGATCCTTGACGTTATCTGTGCTACCCATAACATTATATCGTGTAGTTTTTTATCGGCCCTTTTCGGGTTTATTTGTATGAATTGATGTGTTTTAATCTTAAATCTAGCACACTTTATCTCAGGTAAAGTATATATCTATCGATATATATGTTACGTCCGAATCTGAGGAGACGCCCATCTCCGATCCGGACGTCCGAATCTGAGCCGATTCATTCTCCTCTGAAACGGACGCCCGACTCAGAGATGGACCTCCTCTTCGGAGGAGAATGAACTTAGTAGAATTTAGTAGACTTGAAAAAGCACAATCACATCAATTTTACCTTTGAATTTGAAAGAAAAAGGAAAATTTGAATCTGAATACATGTGTTTTGTTCAAAACATTGGATTTTGCATTTAAACTATTTGTTCTCAAGGTCGGACATCCAATTCCGAGAAGAATGATCCTTCTCCTCCGAAACGTTTCAGAGGAGTCTCTGAGTCGGACCTCCGTTTCAGAGGAGAATTTCAGAGGGAAAATTAAAAAACACCAATTTTTTCTTCATAGTAAAGTGTTTTCTAACCACCTTTAGCTTCTGCGATTAGCCCAATTTTGTTCTGATTAACTCGAGGCTTGTGATTCCCTCAGCGAGTTTCACCAAAATTAGGCTAATTGAGGGTAAAACTGGCGGAAGATTACGGTAGTTTTGGCCGAAATTGATTGTTTGTCTGTAAGGCTTTTCTTTTAGCCTTACAGACTCAAATTGAGTGTCTGTAAGTAAGGCTTTGTCTTATAAAACCATCTTATAAAGCTGTGCTAGGGGTTTTAAAAGTACTTTTAACCAGGTCAGATCAATTTACGTCCGCATTCATTCGAATCAGTTTTCTGTCCGAGAATTTCTAATTTACTCAGCAAAGGCTACATTTTACATTTGCATTTCTAAAGATACAATTCTAAAGAATTTTAAACCGATTCTAGGATCACCACGAGGAGGATCTTTTCCTCTACATCGACTACTCCCATGAGAGTGTTTATGGGGCAGATGAGTGAATGAACGATTGAATGAATGAAGGAAAACACGAGCAAATATCGACTTAGCTATTCAATTCGAACTCTTTAAAAGAACTCTTCAACGTGTTTTTTAAGCGTGTTTTGTTCAAAACATTGGATTTTGCATTTAAATTATTTGTTCTCAAGATCGGACATCCGATTCCGTAAGAATGATCCTTCTCCTCCGAAACGTTTCAGAGGAGTCTCTGAGTCGGACCTCCGTTTCAGAGGAGAATGAATCGGCTCAGATTCGGACGTCCGGAACAGATCAACAAGAACAGAAAAAGCTTTTGGCACAGGTAAATTAATGTTCGAATTGTTTAAGTTTAGGTTTGTTTGATGTTTGGAATTGTTTAGGTTTCAAAATCTGTAAATTTATAAGCTGATAATATTTTCAGAAAGTTTAGGTACCTATTTTTGATGTAGAAAGATCTAGAAAAGACCGAGTGTAAACAAAAACAAAAATTTTCCCTCTCCCTTTCCTCTCCCTTTCCAAGCTTTGAGATCTCTTTGAGAATCGACAATTGACAAATGAGAAAAACGACAATTGATGAACGTATCTTCAGGCTTTAGCCATTATTTTGCATGAAAATTTTTACTCAGAAAATTGCCCTCCTTCACTCAATCTACAGTGAGATTCAAGTGAGCTCCAGAGTGACAATCGAAGTTTCTCATCCTGACATTCACATCAGCTTTATTTCTCCAATGACAAGCTTTGAGATCTCTTTGAGAATCAACTGACAAGCTTTGAGATCTCTACTTTTCGGTGCCGATTTTCTGCATCTTCGCCACCGATCTCTTTGAGAATCAACAAGAACAGAACTTTTGGCACAGGTAAATTAATGTTCGAATTGTTTAAGTTTAGGTTTGTTTGATGTTTGGAATTGTTTAGGTTTCAAAAACTGTAAATTTATAAGCTGATAATATTTTCAGAAAGTTTAGGTACCTATTTTTGATGTAGAAAGATCTAGAAACTAGAGATGATGATTCATATCAATGAATTTTAGAGCACAAAGAACATCTTGACGCTCAAGAATTGAATAGATTTTACATAATTTTGGAGATTTTCCAGGTGTGAGTCAAAAGAAGACGCGTTCCTCGCATTCTTCCGTCGATTCAGCCCTTTCACCATCGCCGTCCGTCGAATCTGATTGATTTCGAGTCTCGGATTGATTAGAGGATTCTTTAAAATCTAGATCTAGAAACTAGAAAGATCTAGAAACTAGAGATTTTCGAGTTCTTTGAGTTCAGGTGAAAGCTTTCCTTTCCTAATATTTCAGTTTTGTTCTGTTCAAATGAAAACCTGAATCAAAATCTTCTTCGCCATCACATCGCGTCCCATTCCGCAGTCTCGGAACACTCTATGCTTACAATGAGTTACAAAATGACTTCTCTTGTCTCTTTACTGCTCTATAACTTGCTTATCCACTTTTTTTAAAGCAATTTTAAGTAATTTTAAGGCAATCTAAACATAAACATTCTTTTCTTTCTTCCTTCGGTCTTAGAAATTCATACTTAGAAACCCAACTTCATAAACCTTTCAGATTTTGCTGTGCTGAATCACAATTGCGGCGACTCGTCTCAGAGAGCAACGAAATCCCGTTAATGGTTTATTCGAGACAAGGAAAAGTGCAAGCGACTTTCGAGTACACCTACAGTAAGTAGAGAAAGAAGCTTGGATCTTCACAAGGGATGGACCTACTAAAATCTATTCCATTTTCTTCTCGATTTCCCCTCCAACTGCCTTGCCTCAATCTCTTCCGGACTCAGCGATCCATCGTGAATCTTCACCTCATCATACCCACTTTCTCCATCCATGTTTGGTTGTGTGTTGGGAAGGATGATTTGGCCTCGCACAAAACAAGCCCTTTCAAATGCGCTGAGAATCGAAAAGAAGACGGGGAAATGAGATGTGGAAAAGAGAAAGGCGGAAGAGGGGAAAGGGAGAGAAATACTAGAAACTAGAATACTAGAAAGGGGGAGAAGAGACCTTTTCTGTTTCCTCTAACCTGATAGAGTTGTCCCATGGTGGTCATCGTTTGTGGAATGACGTTGTTGACGAAGAAGAAAAGGGCGTAAAGGAAAGATGACAGGCAAAGGGAATAATTTTGAACAATCATTACTTTGGCTCAATCACATTTCACATCAAAAACCTTGAAACATCAAATTTTTTTCAAAAAAGTCTGCTGCAATAGCCTCAACTTCTCCATAAAGCCTTGATATTAGGTATCTGGGACTTTAGGTACAACATTGTACATTGTTTTTGGATTTTCGGAGCACTAGACAATACATTTTTGACAGCAGCTGAAATGCTAACTCGAATTCAAAACCAATCTCATTATATTATATAAAGCAGTGAGAAAAACACTATATATTACTCACGAAGTCAGCTAATAGATTCATTTTAATTTGAAACATGCTTTCTAAAAACGAAAAAAAAATTCATTTCTATTTATGCACTCTTCCTTTGAAT